TATAGAAGTTTCCATTATTTTTCTAATTGGAATTAATCACTTAAAAAGGATTCATCATGGGTGCCTGGGTGGCTCGGTCTGTTAAGCTTTCAACTACAGCTTAGGTCATGATCTCACAGTCCATAAGTTTGAGCCCTGCATTGGGCGCTGTGCTGACAGCTCAGAGCCTGGAGCCTGCTTCAGATTCTGTGACTCCCCTTTCTACTCCTCCCCTGCTCTCACTCTGTCTCTCTCTCTCTCAAAAATTAATAAACATTTAAAAAACAAAACAGATTTATCACGCGATAGCCAGAGAAGTCAAAGTTTACTTGCAAGAACTTTCTAAGAACATGTGATACATGGTTGTAAAACTTCATTTAATTTCTTCAAATGTGAATTAGATTAAAACCATATACATGTCAAACTGCAAAAAACAAAATGGATTATAAAATATCAACCCACTGGATATTTTCTTAAAATCTTGTATCACAAGACAATGTTTAATTTATTAATACAAGTATTCTTTTTAATGTTTTATTTATTTTCGACAGAGAGAGACAGAGATAGAGCATGAGCGGGGGAGGGGCAGAGAGAGGGAGACACAGAATCTGAAGCAGCTCCAGGCTCTGAGCTGTCAGCACAGAGCCCAATGTGGGGCTCGAACTCACAAACGCTGAGATCGTGACCTCACCAAAGTTGGATGCTCAATCGACTGAGCCACCCAGCATCCCACAATTTATTAATACAAAACATCATCATGTAATGAATTAATGGACAGTAAATGTAAGACAGCATTACCTACAGGAAGAATATAAACAGATGTCCGAGTTAGTTAATGCCCAGCTTAGTGTTTATGACTTGAACTTTGTTGCTACAAATATATAAATGTGAAATACTATTGGAAATGGTATGCTCTATGTCATGAGCTATTGCTCTTTCAAAATAGTATCTTTGAATACTTTTTAACTATCTACTTAAATGGGTATGTGACAAATAATAAAAAAGTAAAAAATAAAATAGTGTCATTTCACCACATATGTCTTGCTCCTTTCTTTTGTAGAGCTGCCACAGTGACTGACCTGAGGGGAACCTCACCCTGACTCTAGGCACAGCAGGAGAGAAACTCCACCAAAAAGGCAGTGCTTCAAAGACAGACTTATAGCCTCACTTCTAGTTCACAGTCAATACTTTCACAAATGATTAAAACTAAGAAATTTTAATCTTAAAAGAGTAAGAAAGTAACCATCATGTTAAGTCAGGATTGTTTCAAGATTCAGAAACATTCCACAGCTCTTTTTATAGTGAACTTAGAAGACAGAGCCACAGTTGGGGAATGAAATAAAATGGGACAGAATTTTATCAAAAAGAAAAAAAAAAGTAACTTCAGGATGGCAAGATTTTGGCATCGTCACAATTTTCATTATGTTTTGCAGAAGTGTATTTCTGTGTCTCAAACTGTATTCCTGATGAACGTAAGCCAATCTGTGATGAAGGCTTATTATTCTCCTAAGACGATCAGAGAAAGCTTTAAGCAATCACGGTCTTTGAAGAGAAAAACTAAGGGTCCCAGGCTGTCACCTTGAGAACAGAGTGGTTTCTACACCTACCCCCTTACTTTCCTATCATCCCCCGACGTGGCAGTCATCCCACCAGCGACTGTTAGTAAGAAGAGAGGCTGTATGATGTCCTCCCTCGAGGACTACTTCCTGGGAGGTGGTGGGAGTGTCAGGGCATCAGGGTCTCCACCAGGGAGGGGGAAACCCCACTCAGAAACATAGCCATCTGGAGGGCACCAGTCCAGTCCTGATTACCTGGGTTAAAGTTATCTGGGCTCTAGTGCCAAGCCACTAATTTTTGTAAATGAGATGGCAGAGGCAGAAGACAATGGGTAACTGATTAAGAGGAAAATACAAAACAAACTTGATTGTAATCCTTCAGCCCTACCATTTCTACCAACGTTCTAACAATAGAAAGATCTTATACAGCGAAAAATGAAATATGTGACAAGGTGACAGTACTTTGAAAGCTGTTTGCTTTCTGAGTGTAACTGAAAACAGTGGCAGGTAAGAATGGACCCTGAAAGCAGAAGTGAGTATCGAGCTTTTGCACTTAGTGTGAGACTTGAGAGCTCATGGGCAAATCAGTTCCCTCGGTGGCTTTCCTCTTATGCAAATTGTCAATAATAATACTTGTCCTCACCTCCCCTAAGGTTGTTGTGGAAAGGCAGTGAATATGAAAATCTCTTGCTTGTACAAAAGTAAAAAAGTAATCATTATCAGCAATTACAGAAATGAGTTGAATTCTATAACAGATCTTATAATATGAACTTAGATCTTTTATGTGCCAATTATTTCTCAAAATACTTTTTTTTTTTTTTTACTATTTATTTTTATTTATTTTTTGAGGGCGAGAGCATGTGAGCGAGCTTAGGAGGGGCAGAGAGAGAGCAGAGAGAGAATCCCAAGCAGGATCCACACTCGAAGCAGAGCCTGACGTGGGGCTCGATCCTACAACCGTGAGATCATGACCTGAGCTGAAACCAAGAGTCAGACGTTTAACTGAGTGAGCCACCCAGGTGCCCCTATTCAATGTAATGTTATACATTACATCGTTTAACCCTCCAAACACCCCTTCCACAAAGGTAGATGGCATAATTACCCTTACTTTCTATGTTAGCAAACTCAGGGAGATTAAAGAACTTGCCCAAAGTCATACGGTTGGTAGGTGACAGAAAAATAATTTGAATCTCAGTCAGCTGGAGTGTAGAGATACACTTACACACGTAGATGCTTCTTGATCAACTAATACCTGTCCATCTATCTGTATGTCTGTCATGTTGTGCAAATCAGACCACTGTTAATGTCTTCTGATTTTTCCTTGCCAGAACAACTATTAATATCTTATTTCTTTATGTCTTTTCTAATTTATTTGAGGTCAGAGGCTTTTGATTACTTTTACCCTAAAAATATAGTTAAACTTTATAATTTACAATAACAAAAAAAGAAAACTGCATAAATGAACAAAAACAGTGAATCTGATTTTGAAATGTACTATGTGCTCATTTTTTCCCCCAAGAAAAGATCAATTTCTGATCCTGTATTTTATAGATGATCTTGAAAGCTCTGGAGTCAAGTCTAGTGTCTAGGAGAGCCCCCAGCCTGAACATACACAGAGAGCAACGTAAAACTGAGGGGCCACATTCCAGAAATATGTAAGCTCTTTTGAGGAGCCAGCAGAATGGACTAGAGCATGATACTTAAACCACTGTCAAACTAACCATAGGATTTTACAACTCTTCGGATTTTAAAATAAATCTCTCCCTAGTTGGATTCATACATGAATGTAAATATCGAAATAACCAAGACAGATGGTAAACTGAAAATATTTCAAAGCATATTTCAGGGAAAAGCACTTTTCAGGGAAAATTACTACTCTTATTATTGTATAGTATTATATATATGATACATACCCAGTCTTAAACATTACTAAATAATTAACAGACATTTTTGGTAGCCTATTTATGCCCATGGAATTCCATTTGAGAGTCACCGCTGCAAATGGAACTCCACCTCTACACCTTTGCCGTTTAAACGCCACTTACTTGTTATCTTCTTCCAAAATAAGGGACATTTGTTGGACAAGAGGCTAATCTAACCCTAAACATAAAAGCACCCTCAAAAATGGTGGGTTATCTCACCGGCTATCAAGATACAAATATTATGTAATTAAAACTAATTAGTGGAAAGGGGCGTCCCCAGGCTTGCACCATAATCATCTCGTCTGTACTGCCACCCCTGCTACGGGGCCAGGTATGAAACCCAGCAGCAGACCAGGGCCAGGCAACCATTCTGCCCCTCTAGTCAATGAGACATAACAACGTGGTTCACTGCAGAGCACCCAGGTCTGCAGTCGCGTAACTAACCACCTGTGCATTTCTGGCAAGTCGCTCAACCTTTCTGGGTCAGTTTTCTTATCAGTCAAATGGTGCAGGTGGAGACGCCGTGCTGGTGGGAGCCCAGGGCTTGCTCCTCAGCACCCGGGACCTCCCGGCATTGTCTAAGTGAGTAGTCTCTGGATAGACAGTTGACAGATCGGTTTGCCTAAATTTCTGGTCAGGCACAGTCTAGGCACTGGAATGTGGAGATAGACTTAAAGATTTTCTGGAAAGGATCTTAAACTATCTTTTTAAAGAAAAAAAAAAATTCAGAAGAAAAGCCTGAAAGGAGAAGTAGAGAGCCCATCAGAGAGAAGTGAGGACTGTCAAAAATGTGAAGGAAGTAAAAAATGCTGGACCGGGAAATTGGTGAAAGATAGAAACAACCTCTTAGCCCTGAAACTAAACTGCCACTGTGATAGAGGCACAGTGAAGGTAAGAGAAGCCTATGCAGGAGCCAGCACACAGGGCGGGGGCTCCGTGAGGCAGACACGTTGACTTCCACCAAGGGAGCCGAGCAGGTGCTCTCCCGTAAAGAGACTCCAGCGTGAACATCCAGCAGAATAAAGATCAGTGCAGAGTGCAGGCTACTAATTTACTCTGGAAATGACTTTAGCATCAGACCAATTCTCTCCCCAATACTGTTCAAAGAACAAGTTGATCTGCTGGTTACAGAAAGAAAAAGGTGGGGTGCCTGGCTGGCTCAGTCAGTATAGCATGCAACTTTTGATCTCAGGGTTATAACGCTTGAGTCCCACATTAGGTGTAGATATTACTTAAAAATAAAATAAAAATCTTAAAAAGAAAGAAAAGAAAAAGGCAAAAAAAAAAAAAAGGATAAAAACAAATTATCAAAACCTTTTCAGCTGCCCTTTGCTTAGATGGCCAGCAGTAATTATGCACACAATTATTAAGACACATTTACAGAAATACTACAAAAAAGGTAAGTCCATTCAAGGTAATCATCTTTAATTGTAAGGAGGAGAAGTAACTTGGCTTTAAAATTAAGTACAGTCAAAGCAGGTTTTATTTATCCTCACTAAAAGTTATTCCATGCTAGAAAAACAGTGGGAACAGCTTTACTCACCTCTCTTCCCTGATGGATTCCAAGAATTGGGAAGCATTGGGGAATGGAAAAGGTCATAGTGTTACAAAGCATTTTAAAGAGAGGTCATTATAATAGTTTCATATTTCAGCCTGTAGTAGAGTGATGTTTATGAGTTACAATTATCTATCTGTATTCAATAAGGTCAATGGTATTTTTGTGGGTTACAAAATATTATTTACATTTTAATTCTATTTGGAGACATTCTCTTTAACAAGCATTTAGTGACTGCATGGAGTAGACAACACTTAATCATTGCATTTAAAAGACAAGAGAGTAATTATTTTTCTTACGAGTATAGGAAAATTAAATGTTAATTTTGTGAAATGTATGGGAATATTAGATGTACTTGTTTAGGTGAAATACACTGCAACTGAATATCCAATCAGAAATATTTTTTAATTCAAAAAAAATCTAATAATCTGATGATAATGCCTTTTAACAAAAGACAAAGACAACACATATATCTTATCATATAATCATTTTCATTGTAACATAGCAGTGATACTAGCCTGGAGAAGATCCTCATGGGGATTCATTTCAAATTATTGAAGCAGCTGTTTCTTCAGTTTAAAATAAAATATCCATAACAAGTTCACACATGACAGATGTAAGGTAAAAACTAGATTCCATAGTGTGAGCTAAAAGCAGATGTTTTGAATGATCATATTTATAACCAGATACAATAAATCTTAGTTACCTATAGTAAGATTTCATGAATATTCTTTTTTAAGAATTTGCTTAAAACGCACTTCCTGTAGTTAAGAATATGGCCTCATTACATATGAATATTCTATAAATTCTTCTGTATCTGGGCTTTTAAAAAATTCTTGTCCATTTCACGTGCTTTCTCAAGAATAAAAGCACTGTTAAGACACTGAAATTTATTATATTTATTTAATTCTGTATATTTTCTCCACCCAATTCAAAGTCATAAAATTCTTTTCTTTTTAAAATTTTTGATGTTTATTTTTGAAAAACAGAGCAGGAGAGGAGGAGGGGTAGAGAGAGAAGGAGACACAGAATCCTATGCGGGCTCCAGGCTATGAGCCATCAGAACAGAACCTGATGTGAGGATCGAACTCACGAACTGTGAGATCATGACCTGAGCCGAAGTCGGAGGTTTAACCGACTGAGCCACCCAGACACGCCTTTTTTTTTTTTTTTTTAAATATACTCATTACTATTAGAAAGAGTAGGACTTTTAAATCATAGAAAAAGCAGTTGGCCTGGTGAAATATCACTCTATAGAGTGAATGTTAATATTTAATTAAATCTTCTAAAAACTATAAACAATGCAGGTTTTGTGAAAATTGAAAGAAAAGTTTGATGGTAAGAATAAAAGACTATTTATCCATCATGCAGTTATATGTATCTTCCATTCGATCTTGTTATAGTTTATCACCACTTCTCCTTCTGCACCTTGACTACTTTCCATTTCTAAACTAAAGCCATCCCAGCATGGGGAAGGCGCAAGCAATCCGGAATCAGGAGATGGGGTTTGTTTTCCAGCTCTGCTTCTTACTACCTGTACGTGCCTGGCAGACCCCGTAAGTTCTCCCGTGTTCCTCACAGAGTGACTGCTGTCGGGAATAGAGAGTACACTATATACATATACAATCCCTCTGTAACACAGAGGCGTTGTTTGCCTAGGAAATGCACATACATTTTCAGGGTTTTTTACACGTAGATGGCCAGCTACATATCAAAGTCTATGGGCAGGCCACTTCTTCAGTGCTGCTCCCTCTACGGCAAAGCATTACGTGCGGCTTTACAGGACCGTTAAAAGCAAGTCATCACCTCTGCGTGATGCTCTTCATTCTGCTGTAAGACTTCTATGCAGAGCTCGGCTAGGTGAAGGACCTCCTCCAGCTTTCTAGCAGGAGTTGCCTGGTTCATGGTCTCTATGTGAAAAAGAAATCATCATAATGTTACCTTGAAAAGAAAAAGCCAAACATATTCCAATTGTAATGAGGAGACCAGGGTGTTGAAATAGAACAGAAAGCATATTTTTGAGAAATGCGATGCAAAAAATACAAATAAATACATTCTTTAAAAAAACCCAGTTCAACAGACTGCAGAAAATATTTCACCCACAAAGCAATCATGGATCTGCAAGTGCTGTGCCGTTTAATATATAAGAACAGGTGCACAGGCACATTAGATGCTCAACTTCTGCAACAAACAAGTTACAATTCTCCTCAAGGTCAGAAACACAAAGAGAGCAGATACCACAGTCTTTTCCTTCTCTCTGTATTGTATTATCAATACAATACCATTCTCACCAGATGAGTCATTCCTGACATTAGCAAACACCAGGGTTTTTTGTTGCTATTTAAATTCTCAGCCTGAAATGTTTATAGTTTATGTTGATCTTAAATTCAAGAAATATAAAGCCACCTAAAACAACTCGGACAACCTGTGATTAACTGATTCCCTCCTATCTTTTCCAGTCCGCGTCACCCTCTCCCCTCCTCCAACTGGAGAGGGGTGGGGAGGCCTTCTTTGAAGCTGAAGGTTCTTTCAGCATTAAGGCAAATTGGTATAAAAAGGCCAGGCCACAATGAGATTAAGAGCAGCTACCTGAAATTCGGCAACAGAGAAGGAAAAGCAGTTGATTTTAGAGCTACAACAAACTGGCAGAAATTAGAAGTGCCTTGTGTAATGAAACGGTTTCAAAACTGATTGTGAAGAGCAGAGTTTCCGATAAAGACAATGAAGAGAAATGCTATCTTACAATCATGGACTCTTGGTTCCAGTAAGGAGGTTATAAAGAAAAGGGCTTTTTCTTTTTAAAATGTGTATTTCGAAAGAGTGACTGGGTGAGCATGCGGGCTCACAGGAGCAGGGGAGGGGCAGGGAGCAAGAAGAGGGAATCCCAAGCAGGCCCCGCACAGCGCCTGGTGCGGGGCTCTATCCCAAAATCTGTGAGACCAAGACCTGAGCCGAAAACAAGGGTCTGACACTGAACTGACTGAACCACCCAGGCATCCAAAGAAATGGACTTTCTTGTGTGTGTGTGGAACCTAAGGAGTTTTGATTTTTGGCAATGGATCTTTTCCTTTAACTTCTTCCTAAAACTCTGGGCTTAAATCTGAAGGCTACTCTTCCAGTTGCTCATTTCCAAGGGATGTACAATGATGCAGTGAAACACTGCTTATGGTTGGTGCTTGTTAATTAAACACTTATTAGAAGCTTCCTAGAGGGCACAGGGTGATCCATGTGGGGATTTCCATCCTCCAGCCCGGCACTCACCCTCCTAAACTTCCCTGCAGGATGGAAAGCTATTGCTTGTTTGGGACAGATCAAGAGCGGAAAGCCTGTCTGCCAAACACCACATAACTGAGTGTCCCTAAAATGTTCTTAAGCCGTGAGAAGTAGGAGGAAGTATAAGCCAGGTCCCTGACCTTAAACAACTCAGACTCCAAAAATCACCACTGAAAAGATCCTCAGACATCAACTATTGAATCTTCCACCTGTTTCATGATCACTTCAAAATCCTCAAAAGAGGGTGAAGTCAAGGAGGCTCATGACTTTGCACAATCGTCTCCTCCATTAGGGGCAGCTCGAGCTACTACAGTCTGATGAGAAAGACAAGCTCTTTAAGAAAAGTTTGAAAACAATGTAAAGCAAACACAGCAATAATACGGACGTGAGAACTGCCAAGAGCAGGTGGGTTTAGGAGGAGGAATCAGCAGGAAGGTAAGCAGAACCTGAAGCAGGTCCTAAAGGAGAAACAAATGACTTTAGTAGGTAGAGGACAGGTTTCTAGAAATGTCTATACGACAGAGAGGTGCATATCATTATATACTAAGAAGGCTATCATTAGAAATGCTACCATTTATTGAGAGCCAATTATGTGTCAGGCATAGGATCAGGTGCTTTCCATGCATCATCACATTAATTTCCCTAACAGCTTTGTTTGGTTATTATTCATATAACTTATAGATAAGGGAACAAGCTTGGAAGGATGAAGTACACCAGCTAGCAAGCGGAGAAGGGGAGACCTGAACTTGACAGGGGCTCTTACCATCTCTGCTTTGCCCATGCCTGGCTGGAGTGCAGACATGCTAGAGAATGATGGGTGACGAGCCTGGGGCCAGACTGTGGCAGGCTTTAAGTACGATTGTAAGTACACTGGATAACTATAACCTACATATAACAGAGCTAGTATTTCTTTGCAAGGCTTCAGATTAAATTAATTTTAGGAAAATGTCTTTGTGGTTGTGGAGAAAAAGGAAGGGTTGCTGAGGCTGTGTGACCTGGATCCCAAGGGTCAGGTCTAGCAATATGGAGAACTATTGGAAGGTGGTAAGAGGAGGGTGCAGGGATGCTTTGAAGAACAAATTAGCAAGACCTTGAAAGTAACTAGAAATTGCAGGCCAAAGAGGAGAATGACCCTGAGGTTTGGAGACTGCGTGGCTCAGGGAATGAGGATGCGTGGCTGATAAAACGAGGGAATGGGTCTCCAATGGGACATCCTTTATATATATAAGAGATTCTATGCTTCCTATAAACGTTGGGCTTTCTCTACATTGGATTGTGTTAAACATATTTTTTAAAAAATTTTTATTTATTTCTGAGAGACAGAGACAGCGTGAGCAGGGGAGGGTCAAAGAGAGAGGGAGACACAGAATCTGAAACAGGCTCCAGGATCTGAGTTAGCTGCCAGCACAGAGCCTGATGCGGGGCTCGAACCCACAAACAATGAGATCATGACCTGAGCCCAAGCTGGATGCTCAACAGACTGAGCCACCCAGGCGCCCCGCGTTAAACATACTTATGTTTCTATCATGTGTTTTTCATAAGGAAAAAGAAAGGCAACAAAATTTGTTTTTATCACAAAAGAACTTACTTTCCTACCTTCTTTATTAAATTATTTACTAAATCCTTATAACCATTCTGCACGTTACAAAATAATGGCCCCATTTCCAGATTAGGAAAAAAGAATCCTTGGAGAGGTTAAAGGCGGTATCCAAGCAGTATACAGGATACTGGCTAAGACAGGATTAAAATCTTACCTCTGATGTCAGGTAAGCGGCAATAACACAAGGACTTGAATCCTTTTTAATTTTCAATTCTTTGAATAAGAATCACACACACACACACACGCACGCACACACTCACTCAACTGACTGTATACGTTCAATAGAAGCTTCTGAAATGGCTGCAGGTTTGAAGAGTTTATAAAGTCACCATATCCTTAGCCACAAGTATGCAATAATGGAAAATAATCATAGAAACAACCTGAAAACTTGTTTCTGTTTACAGGTGAATATGTCAAAACCAGCTTTTACATGTGACACTATCTTAAGTAAAAACGTGGAGAGTACCCTGTGTTCTACTGAAACTTAAAAACAGTCTAAAACATTTTATTTTTCCTAGGCTAAATTTACTAAGAGCAGAACTTTGTACTTGAACATAATGGCCACTCTAATACTTTAAATAAATAGCATTTTTATCAAGTACACTGTGTATGCCATCTCTGGCTGTCACTCATTTGACTACAGCCGAGAAGTTTAATGCATTTCTATAGTCAGAACTCTATTAGATAACAAGGTTATCAATGGCCCCATTAAAAATCTGAACACTGAATATTTGAGAATTCCTCCTTGAAATGTTCACTTCCTGTAACATTTTCACAGCATTACATATGTCTCTATATTCTTCAAGCTTCACACCAAGCTGCTGCTTGTTGTAATACATTTCAAATAGTGTCATTTAAAACAAATATGCCCAAAGTAGCGAGGTTTCTTGATGACTTTCAATGCACTGCTCTTGGGCACGAGCTTTCTTCATTTTGGAACACTTTTAATTTTCTATATTAACACTCCCTGGTTGCTCAAAGCAATTCTTTTTAATTATACCTCTGGACATGTAAGAAAAGATCTCAAAAGAAAAAAGGTAAGGAGGTAGGGAGAAGAGGGCAGCTTGACTGTTTTGCTTTAGAAGGCTTTAATTCTGTTCCTATTGCATACTCCTAGCACATTCTCCCCCCAGGGGCCTCCCTTCCAGCTATTTCCTGTCAAAATCCCTAGTGGGGGACACACAGTGATGCACAGAGTGAAAGTTGCGAGGGAACATGGGCAGAAGACCAGTCTGAGATCATTTCAAATAGGATGTGGAGAAATTTGTAAGGCATTTAACCTCAAGACTTAACAGACTCATTTCTCTATTTGCAGCTAAACAATAAAGATGGTGTTGGATTAAGGGACTATGCCAATAATGCTATTATAATACTTCTCTCCCTTGCATCTAGGTCATGCTAACTGGCTAGGGTGCTTCAAAAAGTAATTCCTATGTATGCACTAAGATTTCTTGCCTGGTTCTTCAACATCCCCAGATTTTGTGACCCTGAATTTGATTCAACATTTATTGCCTGAAAAGTAGTGTACTTAACAACTAAGAAGATACAACGATGAACAACGTAGGATTTCTGCCTTCAAAGAAGGTATGTAACTTTCTCCCTAAGCAGATTATATGGTATAGAGGATAGCTCCATACCATCCATTTTTGGTCAATATGAGGAAGTTCTGCAATAATGCTCTGATACAGAGGGAGTTAAATGCATACAATATGCAAGAACAGCATTATTATCTTGCAAGAACTAAGATCAAAGATATGTCAATAGGAAGGCTTTAAATTGCTCCTGGATAACAAACATATGGAGATCTTCAGAAAGAAAAGCTTCTTTTAGCGAGTCTGTGTTTGAGGTCAGAAACTTTAAATCAGAGAAAGCTAGCAGCAGTCTAACTGAAGACTCCATTTTCCTCCTCACACGTGAAGAAAAAAAAAACTCTTCTGTTGCTTCTCCCTTCCTCTAGAGAACATCAATCAGATGGATGAGAAGAAATCCCTGACACTCAGGAGGGAAGTGAGGTAAGAAATGTGTAAGACTTAAGGA